GTAGCATCTCATTCTCTTCCTTCATCCTCTGCTTTACTTGTAAGACCTTGTAATCGTGCTCGGTGCTGTGATATTCAAGAAGGCGCTTTAGGTAAAGATGATGGTTGTGAGTTGGCATCCTTGCCGTGTTGCTGTCGTTGTGGTAGTAGTGGTCATAACTACTATACACTTTTTTCTTCTGTCTGGCATTTCGGGCGTTCCGCTCCGGTAATTGGCACTTTTGTTTGAATGGACGGTTTGTCTTCTGTTGATGTCCTCGCGGACGTTTTCGTAGATGTCTGTTTTGTTGAGTTCTATGTTCTGTTCCTTGATGTTCATTTTTATATATAATACTTTATATTTTTTTGATGCTAAAGGTTTCAATTTCTCTCTCGTCGCTTTGTTCTTTTCCTCTTTGGCTTTGTTGTAGGTGTCTCTGGCGGACATCGCACTTTGTAGTTCTTCCTTTATTTGTTTTACAAGGTCGCTTTTGAATGCTTCTGGGTCAAAAGGCGGTTTCGCCCTTGACGGTCTTACCCTTTTGGGCTTTGGGACTACCGTTGCTGGTTGTGGTTTCTCTTCAACTGGTGGTTCAATTATTTCTTCTGGTTTCTTCTCTTCCTTCGGTGTTTCTTCCCGTATTGGTTCTGGTATTGTTTCTTCCTTTGGTTCTTTTACGACTACCTCTGTCATATATTAATATTATAGAAATGCTTTTATACTTTCAAAATCTCGTGCCTCAAATACGGTTTGTTCAATCCTTCCAGTTTGAAGGTTCTGTTTCTGACGTCATCGTATTCTATCTTGACGATTTTGTAGGATTGATTGCTCCATTTTGAGTTATACTCCTTCCTCTCGGTGTAGTTGTCTTTTTTCTTCTCAAAGACCTTCACCATATCATTCACTTTGACCTCTGGATATTTGCGAGTGTTCTTTTCCCTCCTTGTCAAATTCACCCTGACGTTCGTATGGTTCTTGTCGTTGTGGGCATCCTTGGGTTTCATTTTGGTTGATGAATGGATGGTGTCGTTGTATTTATCCAACGCCTTGGACAACATCACAGTCCAACTGCCACGATTAAACCTAACTCTATCCTGTATCATATTTTTCATCGTCCTTATGAAACGCTCCACAACATTAGCGTGTGTTAGGGTGACGACGTGAGTGATGCCTTCTTTCTCAAAAAAGTCTTTTACACCCGCTTGGAAGGCACGGTCATTATCACTATAAACGGACATCGGAAAACCCATTTTGTTGAAACTCTCTTTCATCGCCGACAATGTAATTGGTCCGGATTTTTCTTTCATAGGGACGACGTTTGCCAACTTGCTGAAGATGTCAATGACCACCAACCCGTATCTCGGTTCGTCGTTCTTGATGGGAATTTTCGTCTCTGGTTCTTTGGTAAGGGGTTTCATATCCATTATATATGTCAATCTGATATTCAAACCTTGCGAAAGGTGCGGTGTAGGAGTTTGAACCCCTGTATTTTCTAATCTGTTTGTTGGGTTGTTTCCTCATAAAGTTTTCCACATCCACCCTGTTGATGGTCTGGTCTTGTTCCTTGGCTTTTTTAAGGGTCTCATTGATTGAACCGAAGCCCGCTTCAAGATTGTAATAGACATTGCTTATGATGTCATCTCGTGATAGTCTCCTTGCCATATATTATAATATTAGATTTTTAAAATTATCAGCAATAAAAAATATACTTAAAGAAAAAATGCCTATATATAGTAAAAATAAGTAAGATGACTAAATTTGACTGTGGATGTCGTATTATGAGCGAGTGTATCACCTTAAACAATGGTGATTACACAAAACCTAGTTGGAATTATTTGTTAAAAACCTTCGTGAATGTTTGAGGAAAGTGTGGCAAGAAAGAAATGAAATTCCAACAAATGGAAAACAAACTTCTGGAAATGGAAAAGCAACGAATGGACATGTTTATGAACTTTGAAGATGAAGACGGAGAAGAGTATGATGAAGAATACAAAGAACAATTTAAAAAGATGACAGACGAAGAGATTGAACGACACATCGGTCTTGAAAAAGTTAGAAATGTAATGGAAGGATTTGACAGAGAACACGGTATAGACAAAATAAGACGGATGATACAAGAAGTAAGAAATGAAGACAAGAATGAAGAACCTGAAGATGAAGAATATGAAAGTGATAGTAGTGAAACACAAGGAATGAAACGATTACAGTGGATAAGGGACAACAGAAAACCCAAAAACTGAAGGAACCTCCAAAACCTACTTAAAGAAAAATTACCTATATATAGTAAAAGAATGCTATTTACTTATAAAAACTGCGGATGTTGTAAGAAAGAAATGACTAACCTAAAGGTTTTACTAAACAATATTTTTCCCGCTGGAATTTGTGATGAGATATGTGATTACAACCTTCACTGTTCAAAATGTAAAGACTTAAACGATAAGGAGCGTAGATACACAGATTTCAATTATCATTTTGACTATTTCAATGATAAAAAACTGACGAAAGTAGAAAAAACAATCTATTTCTTTAAAACAAGGATGGAGAAATCACCTATTTATTTATCCAACACGAACCGAACAAACACTCGGCAAATGAAAAGAGAAATTGATGTTTTTATGGATACATTCAAACTCAAACAAAAATTCAAACATGACAAACTGTTCTTAATGGCGATTAAGTTTTTTGTGAAAAAGGAGTGGAAAACTACCTATCACTTCCTTAAAAACTTTCACGATCTTACATATATGACGTATTGTAAAAACAAGCGTGAGTGGTGGTTTCCTCAAAACAATTGAACTTATACATACAGAAATTGGGAGTTTAAGGTAAAAGACATTTTGGAAATATTTTTGCGTGAATACACTGAAGAACTTTTCAATGGTTATGAAAAATATTTTAATGTAGAAAAAATAAAAGAGTATCTACAAAAAGTGGTAAATACTTAAAGAAAAAATGCCTCTATATATATATAGTAAGAGAAAATGAGTAAAGCAAAAATTCAGGTTATAGATAGAGATAATATCGGTATATATGCTGACTTCGGTACTGAAAGCGAGGACGGTGATTGGGAAAGAAAAACAATAGAAAAAGAAGATGAAGAGATTAGAGACTTTGTAAAATGTCATCCCTTACCACCACGTGAAGACTTTGATTTTTGGAAATCTGTGCTTGATAGAGTTGTTAGTGAAAGTAATGTTGAACGGTTTAAAATATTTATACACAAACAACTTGACATCATCAAATGAATGTATGAAAACCTCACCAATAAAGATATAATCATACAATGCGGAAAAGAATTGAATAGAAGAGGTGGGTGTTTTTGTATGAGTGTTAATATGACCCTTTTATCAATAGCGATGGATGAACTAAACGATACAAACAATCCCTGCTTATCACAAATGAGAGTAATTGAACACTGGTGGGTAGGTGAATGGAAAGCATAAAAGATTAATTCATAATATTTTAACAAAATATATTATGAAGTAATCCACCCTAAAAACCCCTTAAAGACATAACCCCTTAAACTTGTAGAGGTATAATGACTGACAAAAAGCAGTGTTCTAAATGTAAAGTCTTTCAACCGTTAAACTATTACAGAGATGAATGTAAGCAGTGTAAAAACTGTTTGGAAGCAAAGCAACGATACAGAGAGAAAAACAGGGACAAATTAAGACAGTATGCCATACAGTATCATCAAAGAAGAAAGGAACAAACAACAGAGGAAAAGAAAGACACTAATGAATTTAAGACTGAATGTCCAGTGTGCGGAAGTATCATAAACAAATATCAGGTCAAAAGGCACGAAGAAAGCATCAAGCATCAAACCAAACTGCAGGGAAAGGAAAAACCGAAAGTTGTGAGAAATGGAGATGATGAAACTGGAATGTTAGGCATATGAAATCTCAATCCAAACATAAAACCCCAACAGCCTAAACAAATCCTACCCCCATTCAATCCAAACATCAACAGTGAAAGTTAAGACCCTAAACCACCCCTAACAATGTCCCAGTAAATCACCAAAACCAAGGAACACACATTGAACAACAACATAAAAACCATAACTGCCAAAACACCCTCAACAAAACCTACCCTCATCCAAGCCAAACATTATCACAACAACCTCAACAAAACATTTAGCAAGTCACGAAAGGTAGCGTCAGCTACCTGAGTTCTCCGTGCTTCAGCACAATCATAGGGGGTATTGGGGGGCCAGCCCGGGTCAAACGTGGAATTCTCGCCGTTATGTATTGGATATCAATTATAAGGGGGGGGGGCCACCCGAGAGTTGGACTGTACCGGACTATGAGGCAAACGTGTATGTATATACATACATATATATATATACATCATGTATGTATGTAATGTAATGTAATGTAATGTCATGTAATGTAATGTAATGTAATGTAATGTAATGTACGGTAATGTAATGAATGTATGTATGTATGTGTGTGTGTGTATGTATGCATGTATTGAACAGCAGCATCTGCGCGACGAAGTCGGTGCCTGGCAGAACAACAGAAAACACCGGCTGTCACGAAGACTGTTAGTTTCAGAAGCACAGATTGATAACAGACATATGAGCACCGTCAACTGCAACAGCACTAGCAAAGATCACAACATCGCAGCGTGGTGGACCTGCCAAGCGACGGCGGCAAGTGCAGTAATGTAGCTCCCACTGAAAGCAAGCAACACAAGAATAGCGGCAACCGATTGCACAGAAACTGTTCTGATCGGTCATGAACGTGATCTTTTTTCTGTCGCTCACATGGCCGCGTTCAGGCGCTAGATCTTCGCACGGCGCGTCAATCCATGCAAGCTAAAGCTAGCTCCTTTGGCTATAAACGGTATATACTGCACACGGACTCCGGATCAAGTTCAAGATAAGGTAACAGCTACATCGAACAGCACGGACACCTACGGACAACCGCGGACGGTCACAAAGTCCAGAAAGTCTCCTCCAGTTGCACTTCTGCGATACACAGCCAAGCGGCATATGGCAACGACACCTCCGCTGCAGACTCTCACGCGGCACGCAGCATGCCGAGGTCGCCCACAGCAGTTTCAAACTGACTCTTATGGTACCTGCCGACGAAGGCATGAAAGTCACGCCAGGAGGTTCCTTGTGGCACGACCGCTTCCAGCTGCAACACTGCTGCATTATTCTCCAGAACCTTAAGAAGGGACCAGTCGTCCATGGAGGCCACGCAGAGAAGACGTCTGACCCGGGCCAAGATGCTGCAGTCTTCGCCTTCCAAGTCATAGACTCTGCCCTCTGTCTGCTCCAAGCACTCAAGACATGACATCCATGCTTCCTTCCAATCTCCAGCAGAAATCTGACTGTCAATCGTCCTTGGGCTCCCAAACGTTTCTTCCATACATTGGCGAAAGAGGCGCAAGGCGGTCAGAGAAATCGTATAGTGAGTTTCTATTCTAATACCGGCAAAAGAGATCAAAAGAGCAAGACATTTTACACAGCAAGAATGACCAAAACTGAGCCGAGAGCTCCTGGAGCAGAGATCGATTTTTTTTTCAGTTCTTCTAGTGTTACAAATCAGCAAGCAAACTTGGAATTTCTATGTGTATATAGTATATATATATTTCTCTCTCTCTCTCAACATGCGTATTACATAGTCATTATGATTGGTTGATGTCTACTGCTGAGACCACTGCTTCGAACAGTATGTTCAGAAACGGCAGCATCTGCGCGATGAAGTCGGTACCCGGCAGAACAACACAAAATAACAAGCTGTTATATCTATACAGAAAAGGCGACGTCATCATGAAGTCTGTCAGTTGCAGAAGCAACAGTACTGTCAAAGCTACGTTGACATCGCTTGTTTGGGTGCGATGCAATCATATCCGATGTCCTCTCATGTCACTTCTCCGCGCAGCATGTTGAAGCTTTCAGATGTGATGTGATGTTTGCTGGCTCCAAGCGGTCGTGTCATGTTGTATGTTGTCTGTGCCTCCATGCTTTCGAAGTGTGCTGTTATGTGTCGTGGCCGTTGTGTCTTTGCTGTCTGACTGCGTGCTGTCAAATGTCACTTCTCCACACGGCGTGTTAAAGCTTTCTAAGTGTGATGTTGTGTGTGGTGGCCGTGGTGTCACTGCTGTCTGACTGCGTGGTGTGAAATGTCTACAGCTGCAACATGTACCACCATCTCGTCGAAACGCGCCACCAGAGCCAACCCAGTGCCATAAGTGCCACGCCTGCCACGCAAAGTGACGATCCATGTCATCAAGTGCGACGCCTACCACACAAAGTGAAGGTGGATGTCACAAAGTGCCACGCCTGCCACGCACAACGCCGCGGCGTCCCAGCGCGGCCGTCCCAGCGCGGCCTGGGAACCAAGCGCGCCACCAGAGCCAACCCACTGCCATAAGCGCCACGCCTGCCACGCAAAGTGACGATCCATGTGTTGACAAGTGCCACGCCTGCCACGCAAAGTGACGATCCATGTCATCAAGTGCGACGCCTGCCACACAAAGTGAAGGTGGATGTCACAAAGTGCCACGACTGCCACGCAAAACGCCGCGGCGTCCCAGCGCGGCCTGGGAACCAAGCGCGCCACCAGAGCCAACCCAGTGCCATAAGTGCCACGCCTGCCACGCAAAGTGACGATCCATGTGTTGACAAGTGCCACGCCTGCAAGTGCCACGCCGGCCACGCAAAGTGACGATCCATGTCATCAAGCGCGACGCCTGCCACACAAAGTGAAGGTGGATGTCACAAAGTGCCACGCCTGCCACGCAAAACGCCGCGGCGTCCCAGCGCGGCCTGGGAACCAAGCGCGCCACCAGAGCCAACCCAGTGCCATAAGTGCCACGCCTGCCACGCAAAGTGACGATCCATGTCGCCAAGTGCCACGCCTGCAAAACCTGACATGGCACGACGGCAACACTCGATGCAACTGCGCACACAGCACTAACCGACGCAGCTTGACTCTGCCTGTGTGCTGGTGCCCGGTGGACAAGTAGTGTGAAGACAAGTAGTGTGAAGACAAGTGGTGTGATGACAAGTGGTGTGCTGAGAAGTGGTCTGATGACAAGTTGTGTGATGACAAATTGTCTGTGGACAAGTAGTGTGAAGACAAGTAGTGTGATGACAAGTGGTGTGATGAGAAGTGGTGTGTGGACAAGTTGTGTGTGAGCAAGTTGTGTGTGTGAGCAAGTGGTGTGAAGTGATATCAAGTTGTCTGATGACAAGTTGTCTGTGATGACCACGCAAACGGCGCAAACCGCGCAAACCACGCAAACGGCGCAAACGGCAAACGGCGCAAACCACGCAAACGGCGCAAATCGCGCACAAACGGCGCAAACCCCGCAAACGGCGCAAGCGGCGCAAACCGCGCAAACCGCGCAAACAGCGCAAACCGCGAAAACGGCGCAAACGGCGCAAAAGGCGCAAACCGCGCAAACCCCGCAAACGGCGCAAACGGCGCAAAAGGCGCAAACCGCGCAAACCGCGCAAACGGCGCAAACGGCGCAAACGGCGCAAACGGCGCAAACCCCGCAAACGGCGCAAACGGCGCAAACCCCGCAAACCGCGCAAACCACGCAAACGGCGCAAACCCCGCAAACGCCGCAAACGGCGCAAACCCCGCAAACTGCGCAAACCGCGCAAACGGCGCAAACGCCGCAAACGGCGCAAAAGGCGCCCCACCTGCAACATCCTGCAACACTCACGCCGGAAGCGTGTGCTCATGCCTTCTTTACTTAGCGCCCGCATCACACAAGCACGGTAACATATACAACAACTACCAGCGACACATTGTCCACAACGGTCTAAGCCACGGGGGGCCCCCCCCTCTAAAATGGTCATGGGTTCAATTCCCACGGGTGACGCGGTCACGGGCCCCCACATTAGAGGCACACTTTCTATGACGGAGATGTCCCTGTAGTCCAGCATAATTGGTATGCTTCAGCCTCAATAACAGTTGCTGCAAGGGGTCTTAAAAAGGGGTTTTAAATAAACCCCTTTTCGTGCATCATTTCACGCTGCACAAGACACCGTATCATGCAGTCATGCTCTGGATAAAATCATCTTAGACTGCGCAAAAACGTTTTGGTGTATCATCTTAGGGGCGCAGCATTTTGACACCACTCCTCTCCCACTACACTACCTTTCGTCCGCCTCCGCCTGCTCTCAAGTAATCAAAAAGAAACAGTCAAACATTTAGATTTACAATATTGAACAAAAACATAACAACCTCCCAACTAACCTCCAACCTCTCTTGTCCTAGTTTCCCCCTTTCACCATTTTTTTCTGGGGGGTGCAGATGTCCCAACAATTTGGGACCATGATTGCTTCGTGTGGAACGATGGTATTACCATGGAAATGGTATGTTGGATCTGCCGCGAACGGTGAACAGATCGATGTACTGTAATTGTATGTAATTGTATGTTAGTAATTGTTAGTATACTTATACAAATAGCGAACATGTATACCAGGGTGATTCAGTGATATCACAGCTAGAAAGGGGTGAAAGGGTTGGCGTTCTAGACTCTTTAGACTGTTTTGTTTGATTGAACTTGCCTTTTATGTCCTTTGAGTATGCTAAGTTCACTGTTGTTTGTGAAGATCAAGGTTTTCAGAGGGGAACAGAGGGGTGTCCTGGCTTAACCCCCCCCCAGCCACTGAGGAGATCCCAGCACGAGCGACTGGGATCAGTTTCTGCATCAATACTCGCCATATCACCTCCTCAAAGCACCTTGGCAGATGCAGGTCATCGGGGCTTTGGCGATGTCCCGTTCTTTTGGGGAGTTGTGAAGCCATCACTTAAAAAAGTGGGTGCTGGTAATTTATAACATTGCGAACTGGAAAATCACCAGGTTTCATAGGTAAATCATCATGTTTATCATCTATAAACGGGCCATTTGACTTAGCTATGTTAAATAGCGGAGGGTATTTGCTGGAGATAATATACCCCGATAGTTGGGTGATGTTCAAATGTTTACCAACCCCTGAGAATGGTTGGAATTCACAAACATCCAGCCTCCAGCGGGATAAAAGGATGTGGGTGGGGTATGGTACTTCGTACTCCAGTATTCCAACAATCCAACCATGGATGGTTTGAGACAGACGCTGCCAAAATTTGCTGATGTTCCATGGCGCTTGGATCGGATTTTGAATGCCGATGCCGGTACTCCGGTACTACCATATTTGGATATAGTTGGTTCAAGTTCTTTCAGGTTATCAGCATGATATCGCATGCTATGAATTGCTATGACATGTTCTTGGAATTGCAACCTCTCAACTGCCATGAAAGCATGGCATAGCATGGCCTTTGTGCCAGCAGTTTGTGCCAGCAGTTCACCGGGAGTTGTCCGCTTGACCTGGTGCCCAGGGGGCACCAGGTACTCAGGAAGACAATCTGTTTTCCCTGTTGATTCGATATGTCCAATCAAAAGAAAAAAATATATATATATATATAATGATATAGATAATTAATGTTAGCCTCCGATTTGTGTGATGGCACCCTATTGTGAGATGTTTTCCCTTTCTAATTTAGCGTTTTGCCGTTTGTGGGGGGGAGGCTCTATTGTGAGATTTTTTTTCTCAGATCCATGTTTTTAGAAAGGAAAAACATGGTTCAAGGAAAATGATTAATTAGCTACATTTGTTTATTTGCGCACCTGGTCCATTTACTTTAGAAAGCCATATCCATGTTAAAGCCTTGAAAATGCAAGGTTCCCCCCAAAAAAATAGATGCCTTATGAAAGCCTTATTAAAAAACAGCACCCAAACAATTTTTTAAGGGGGAAGGTTTCCCAAATAATTAGATGCCTTATTAAACCCTTCTCCTGGGATGGCGATGGAGAGAGAGAGAGAGATTAAACCCTTGTTTAAAAACAGCACCAAAACAATTTTTCAAGAGGGTACCCCATGAGTGACCCCGATCCTCAATATGTAATTGTTTCGATGGTACCCTATTGTGCACAAAAACTGTTGGGCACTTTTTTTTGGATTTAAAAGGAAAATCAATCGAAAGTAGATTCAAATGAATTGAAAGTAAATTGATTTCAATTGATATCCTTTCTTATAAATATATTTCTTTGAGGTTGAAAAGGAAAACCAATTTAAAGTAGATTCAAATGAATTGAAAGATTTCAATTGAAATCCTTGCTTATCAATATTTTTGTAAGTTTAAAGGGAAAAGCAATTGAATGAGATTGATTTCAATTGAAAGCCTTGCAGTTTAAAAGGAACATCAATTGAAAGTAGATTCAAATGAATTGAAAGTAAGTTTATTTCAATTGACATCATTTCTTATCAATAAATTTCTTTGAGGTTGAACAGGAAAATCAATTCAAAGTAAATTCAAATGAATTGAAAGTAAATTGATTTCAATTGAAATCCTTTCTTATCAACAGATTTCTTTGAGGTTTAAAAGGAAAATCAATTGAAAGTAGATTGATGTCACTTGAAATCCTTGCTTAAGTTGACTATCCTAAAACTTGTTGAGGGAGTGGGGCGCCGAAAATGCCGAGTTATTGAGTAGACTAAAATTGTTGAGGGGGGCCCACACTAATCAGAGCCCAACATTATATAATGATGATTTTAATTTATAATTATAGATAGCATTGAATTTTTAGGGGTTATCAGATGTTAGGGGAAGGGATCATTGATTTTTTTCATGAATACCGCCAAGAAAAGTGGCAAACAACTCAAACAAGCTGTAGGTCATTTGCCACTCTTCAGAGCGTTCGATATGGGTATGTAGAAATTGATGTTGATTTTCCATGTCCAGTCCTGGTGATTTTGTTCAGAGGGCTTCCGTGGCTCAGGAGGATTCCACATATCCAGCAGCCTTGCATCCTGGCCCTTTGGGATCTGGAGCTGTGGCATGTCTTGTCATCGGCAAGCATCAAACATGGACTAGGACTATCTAAGACTATCTAAGAAATTAATACCTATAATATCATATATTGCAGATGAATGCAGTAGAATACGTTTTTTGGGGTGATTTGTTGACAATGATTTTCAGTTTGGTTAAGGCCTAAGCAGATTAATAGCCTAAAAGCCTTTCAGAAAGCCTCCAGACCCATGGTGGAGCAAGCTGCAAGGTTTATGACTTCAACAAGGGATGACCGAGTTCATCCAGGCTCTGGCCACTGGGATGAGTTGTTTGGAAGAGTTTTAGGGTACCAGTAGCATCGGATTTCATATATATATATATATATATGTGTATCGATATACTAATATATACAATAATATACACATTATATATATATATATATATGTATTCCTATATTTATTTATTTATTTATATGTAAAGGACCAGCAACCGGGAGCAGAGAACAGACAAAACAGTCGATAGGGCCTGGGTGGGAGCCGGTTGTGAACCTCGCCACTAACCTTGCAAGGCTCCGCCCGCCTTCGCCCCGACCCGGCCCCAGCCCCGCCCCCACCGCCCCTACCCGACCCCCACCCCCAACGAGCAGCCCGCTTCAGAAGCACCGCCCGTTTGCCCTACATGCCTGGACGCAATCACCCATGGCCACTCTTACCACCTAGCCTGTTTAGCGCGAAGCAGAGCCCGAATTCCCAACCCGCGCGCTCTGCCGAACCCCGTGGCCTTTGCACGAGGACGCAACACCGCCGTCATAAACCCACTCCAAAATTCCGAGCCCGACCCCAAGCCCGCTACCACCCGCAGTACTGCCCCCCCCTCCCTCCCCACCCTTTTTTGCTGACACGCACTGGGACGAATTCCCGGTCCCGAGCCGGCTGCCACCCTAAACCATGAAACACTGACGCGCAGTAAAAAGGAGTGTGGGGAAAAAAAATGTATATATGTAGATATATGTGTATAATGTACTTCCATTGAATATCAATATCAGAATTGATTTGCTGGTTAATGTAACTGTAGATCCTAACATCTGCGGTTGGAATCCCCGCCAGGTCACGCAAGAAAGATGGTGGCCAAGTTGCTGGAGCATCCGACCGCGAAGGAACCGGGGTGAGCCCAGGCGTTGGAAGTGGAAAACAGTGCCTTATATACTTTATTTGATGCTTATAACATTTCATAACCACATGACACCATATTTTATGTGTGTAGGACCGGATCATGTGTTGCGCAATCATATTTGATGTCTTTAGATATATATATATATATATTATTGTTTATTTTATTTATATAATCACATATATATATATATATGTTTCATACTTATATAAATCTATACAATCATATAATCATGGTAACCATGTAAAATCATATAATTATATTTGATTATCAAAAATACAAGTATGATATATGATTGTAGGAAATATATACATATACTATACATGGTAATATTTGAGTATTGAAAGTATTCAATATATAATATATAGTAACACACATATATATATATATATATCATATTGTTATTTAAATAAATATATATATATATATTACAAGGATACATGGTGCGTTTGCCTTTGCAGAAATATCGAAAGAAGAACTGAAACAACATCCTAAAGCAGAACTTAAAGCCCAACCTGGACCTTCCGACCCCTGAAAACAATGGATACCGAACGCAAACGCCGAAGTTTACTGAATGGATACTGAAAATTGGTACATCCGGGCACACTCTGTGTCCAGGGGTTGGCCCAGCCCAACTTGCTGTGTACCCCTGAGGCCCTGAAAGAGGGCTAGTTTGATGCATGGCACTACTGTAGTTGAGACCTTGGCCACGGGATCCACGGGGCATCCCGGAAGGAGAACACCTTTTACTACGAAAACATTGAAGGTGGTCATGGAGTAGCTGCTGACAACAAGCAGCGTGCAACTTGGATCCCCAATTCCTGGCCGTGGTGACCCAGAACTGCCGCAGGTTAATGACATGTTCAACCCGCCAGTTCCATATCATTTGCTGTGGCTTAATCCCACAATCCCACATGTTTGCTTGTGAAATGAATCCCAAATGTTCGAGTCAAGTATGGGTTCAAAAAAATATTGTCTTTTGCTACATGTTTTCGGGGTTGAAACCACCAGGCCATTCATTGTCCAACATGGGGCGTAAGCGCGTTCGAAAAGATCCTGAGGCTTTTATGCAGGTGGTGCGCTTTGCCTTCTTGTGGAGAACGTTGATGAATGAGAACCTTGGATAAACGGGTTTGCTGATTGTTTAAAATGCGTTTACAGGAAACCCCACAATTAATTAATGAAAATTAGCTGGTGGCAAAAACCAATGGACTTCACGAATGAACCTATATATATATACAGTGTTTCTTCGATACAAGTAAACAGTTGTCTTTTGGACACGTTCCATTGCTGATTTGGCCCCTTGTTCCCCTTCTATTGGTTGATTTTAGATCAATTTAACAGGAGTTTCCCTGTATAAATACGGGGGGTGTTCCTTTAGCCGGTATAATTATATAACGGTGTGCAAACTAAGTAATCGTGATTTGTTTAGATCCAACCTCAGCAAGTACATGCAAGTACTGTAGTGCATCTTACACCATCCATCAGAAGTTGACCGACTGACATCCTAGTGGCCTAGAGGCCTTTCGTTCTGGTGTAGTCTGGCACGGAAGGCAGGGGCATGGTTATGAAACAGAACAAGCAGCACAGCCTCCAGTTGAGGGTTGAGGCCGCAAATCAAGACCCGCAATGTACTAGCTGCAACCCCTGCTGCCTATTGTTGATGGATCGCACATCTGAGGAAACTACCAGAATCTCTAAAAGAATTATTGTGATCATTTTGGCAAAAGGATATATTATATTTCTATGTTATTATAATAACCCTTGGAAAATATGGTAAAAACAATAAAAATAATATAACATAATATAATTCCCCACTCCACAAATTACACTGCACAATCACCACTAGACATCCCCAACCCCCTATTCATTTCCGCATTTTATATCAGACTCCACACTTTGCACTCCATACTCCATGCCCCAACCCATTACACTCCCCATATTCCATAATATTTCATACTCCACACTCTACACTACACTTTACATTCCCCAATCCCCACTACCCACTCTACACACTACACTCCACAATTCACACTTTACACTCCCACACTTCACACACTACAATCCCCATTTCACTCTACACTCCCGACCCCACACTTCCCACTCAACATTTCATTATTTTATTATAATATATTTAAATATTATTTATTTAAATTATTATTTATAAATAAATATTATCATTTATTTTTAAATAATTAAATATATTAACATAATTATATATTTTTATTAATAATTTAAATAAATAATATTTAAATATATTAATTATATTTAATTATATTATAATATATAAATATGATGGAAAAATAAATAAATTATATTATATATATATAATAATTATATTTATATATATAAATAATTAAATATAAATTTATTTATTATATGAATTTATATAAAAATATTATAAAATTATATAAATTATATAAAAAAATATTAATAAAAATTATTAACATGTTGAGGGAATATAATGTTTTTTATAATAAAAAAAAATATAATATAAAATAATATTATTTTTTAAATATAATTAATTAATAAAGATAAGATAATATTAAAAATATATAATTATTAATGATTTGTTTATTTTACAGGCATCTGACAAAGTCGTACTTCTTTTAGGAAAACATCGTTGTGCCTTGGGGAAGTGTGTTTCGCAAAAGTCGTGCCTTTAGCAAGAACGTATAGGAACTCTAGAGTTTGGATATGTAACCCGTTTTCTTATGAAATTACGTAGCTGATTACTATTAGCATGCAGAATTCTAGGTTGTGGGTATGTTGATCAGTTATAGGTAAGATGGCGTTGAGCTGGTGATTTGATGATTTTGGATGTTTATTCTAGATTATCTTGTTTTTACCGAATGCGTAGCGAAGGGTTCCCGTTTATAGTCTGGGGGTCTGGGGGCTGGACCCTTGTTCGTCTCGAGTGGCTCGTCGCGTCGGCGTCGCGTCGTCGTCGGGTTGGCGTCTCGTCGTCGCGTCGTTAATTCCATATCTATGGGGGAAGCTGCAAAACCTCTCCTTTTCGAAGGTTTCCAAGCAGGTTGTCATGTTGTTTTGCGTGGCAGGCGTGGCACTTTGTTACATTCCAACCTGTTTGATAACGTGTCGAAAGTGTCAAAATTGGAGGACGTCTCGCACGAAATGCTCGTTTTGTTGCGCCGACGTGTCTCGTCTCGAGTCGCTGGTTTTCCCGTGTCTCGTCTCGAGTCTCTGGGAAGTGCTTTGTGCAAACTTTGTAGTACAAAGTAGTACTGGAACGTGTCTTTGTAGTACAAAATAGTGCTGGGAAGTAGTTTGTGCAAACTTTGTAGCACAAAATAGCACTGGGAAGTGCTTTGTGCAAGCTTTGTAGTACAAAGTAGTACTGGGAAGTGCTTTGTGCAAGCTTTGTGGTACAAAGTAGTACTGGGAAGTGCTTTGTGCAAACTTTGTAGTACAAAGTAGTACTGAAACGTGCCTTGTGCAAGCTTTGTAGTACACAGTAGTACTGGAACGTGTTTTGTGCAAGCTTTGTAGTGCAAAGTAGTACTGGGAAGTGCTTTGTACAGGCTTTGTAGTATAAATAGTACTGGGAAGGACTTTGTGCAAGCTTTGTAGTACAAAGTAGTACTGGGAAGTGCTTTGTGCAAGCTTTGTAGTACAAAGTAGTCTTAGTACTGGGAGGTGACCCAGAGAATAGAAAAATAATGATGCAGAATCCCAGCGTTGACATGCAAGTTGCACACGAGAATGACATTATAAGAGACTAGAAAATCAATATTTTTATCAATCGCGTTCCATTGTGTTT